CACCCACATACGAGACCGCGTTGACTTTGCAGCTGCTCCACAATATCCACTTTTCCCACATCCCTACCTCATTCCGCCTTCATATTGGTAAATATTACTTCCGATTTCCTCCCACATTAAACACCTTGAACACGCTCCTTGACAATTTGGCGAAAATAATGCTGAGGCGCCAGTGGAATCTCATCGACTTCGTCTCAGATCCCACTAGCCACCTCCACGTTTTCTTACATCACCCACCTTACCCTCTCCTTCTTCAACGTCATTCCTAGTCGTCTAAACCGCTTAGTGGCGCTCCCTCTACTTCCACCACCACTGTTTCTCATCATTCATTTGTCCATTTCAAACACAAGCCTCCGTTTGCATTGTTAGCAGTGTGACGGTGTAAGCAAGCGCCAGTAGCGTTCGTACTACCACATCCGTATAGGGCGGTGTGGAAGTTGGGATTGGTGAGCAAGGTGTCAGTGGGTGGGTGTGGGTGAATGGTGGAGATCATGGTCACACCTCCACTGTCTGTGACACAGGAGGAGGAGGTGGAGGAGGAGGAGGATGTTGGTGGTGTTAAGACTTTGCATGTACGTTCACCAATTCAATACTTGTCGTTGCAGAAAATTTGGGATGAGGCACTTTGCTTGCGGTCGTCGGTAAGGACCATTTTAAGCAGTCATCACCGTGCTGTTCCCATGTGTAATAAGTAAGAGGGGAGATTTGAAATGAGTTTTGGATGGAGGAGAGCAACAGGAGTTATGCGTTGGATAAAGGATGGATGATCTTGAGGGCGTTTGCCTTCCCATGTTTTCCAAATTCTCTTTGTTGCCACGCGGTGATTTCTATGCCTAATCGCAGTGATAGGAAGCATGAAGGAGGATGTAGACCAACAAGAAGGTCTGCCGAAAAGAAACGTGAAGAGGTGGGTGGGACATTGCCGGGCAATGAGGGATGGTGAGAATGAGATGTAGGATGCGCTGACATGTCATATATGCGTGCGCGTGTGTGCGACTTTGTTAATGTGAAATAGTAAATAAATGGAAGTTGACGATGAAGAGGCGACTATTTGCAAGTGTAGGGAAAGAACAAGAGCACTATCGTGGACTGTGTGGGAAAAGGAGAACGAGGAGGAGGAGGAGGAGGAGAAGGAGGAGACGAAGGAGAAGGTGAATAAGGAAGACAGGCAGTGTATGAAAAGCAGTGCCTGCGGTGGTGCACATCTCTGCTTGCTAGCTGAAATGCGTGCGCCAGATGTTGCGATGGTAGGATCGGTGTGTGTGTGGGTTGTGCATTTGGAAGTAAATAAGAAGATGAAAATGGAATGAAGTGAAATGGAGGGCAAAGGTACATCCGACTGAGGCAGCGTAGGATGGATGGGACTCTGCAAAGAGTGTGAGTATTTAGGAGAGTTTCCGTCCACCACAATTACGTAGCACTCAGTCAGCACAGCAATACCGTTAGCACATAGTATGGCTAGTAGTTATGCACCCACTACAAATTCGTCTCTAGTGACTCGATTGTCAAAATTTTACTGCCTCACTAAATCAAGAACTTAGCCCTCTTCTCACACCCTATGACATTAGGACAGATGGTCTTGCAAAAATAGACTGGAGGCTCCACAACTTCATCTCCCCTCCCGCACTAGAAGAGGTGTATCTGGTAATGATATATGGTGCATCGCAGGGCATAAGAACTGCACGATACACAACAATGCCTTTACGACCGGTACTTTCCGCAGCTTCATTCAGTGTAGTTCCTTAAAGTCCCATTAAATCGCATTTTGATTTTAAGTCATTGCGATCTCAGCTAGATGCAAATGTTGTGTTCTGCTTCGCGAGCTGATGCGCGACACCCTTGTTTTCTGCTAAGACCCATCTCGAATCGATGTGCGATAGGTGTCGCAGCCTAGAAGGTGCGCGTGGGCTATTTGTCAGTTGGACAGGCATGTGTGTGTGTCTGTACTCGATCACTGAGCC